CTGACGAAAAAGACAAAAATGGGAAACGACGTCGATCATGGAAGACTGTCCATCACAGGTACAAATCAGTTCCAAATCAATCGTATGTAAGTCGATTTCGTACATATCTGCAACAACACGGAACGAAGTGACAAAAGACCAACGATATTGATGAAATTCTATTTAAAAGGTTTTTGCAAGCTCAGAAACAAGCTTTGCCTCTGCACGACGTTGATCTACAGCGATGGGCGCTAAAAGCAGCTAAAGAAGTGCATTTGAAAGCTTTTCATGCTTCACACGGACAGTTGGCCCGGTCAGGGCGACGAAGATTTGTATACGAAAGAAGGGTGTGGTGGTAAACAAGTCTCGAAATTCCGCCGAAAATCACGTCAGATCTGCAACCATTGGACTGCTACACAAACCGTCAACTCAAAAACTTCATCAAAAAATGTTATCAACGTGTAGCCTTGGATGAACTTGATATTGATCTTTACCAAAGAAATAATATAATCAAGCTAACATCACTCGTACACAAGCAGTTAAGTGCGTCAATTTGTAATCGTATGATACAGTATTTCTGGTTCATGGCAGGCCTTCTGAAAACTGACCCATCACCATTTTCCAATCTACTCGAAGTCTGTTTCCCATCCCTTACAACGCACGAAGAATGTGAAGAAAAGGAGTGTGACGAAAGTGTTTTTATCAACTGTTCCATCTGTTCAAAAAAGCTTTGTTTCTCTCATTTTTTCGTGTCATATCATTTTCATGACTCAGCAGTACAGGGTAGCGGCTGATAGCCCTTCATGGGCGGTTGTGTTTTCTCAACCATTTGTTTCAACCAATTTCAACCAAGAGGAGAACGCATATTTTTTCGAAAAAAAATTAAAAAATAATAAAAAAATAAAAAAAACGAAAAAAGTTTTAAAATGAAAAAATGTGCTTCCTTCCCTTGTTCTGAACCGTATGTGTGACCATTTTTAACATGTATGGTTTCCGGTTTGTTTGCCTGAAAGAGCGTTTTCTTTTTCGTGTGAAGGTGTTTTATACTATGTAAACAGTTTGGAGAATAAAAGTTTTGCCCTCCAGAAATCTTTTCAAAACCCTCGAAAAACTGTTAAAACATGTTTTTATAGGTTTCGCGGTATGCTCTTCAATCCAGACAGGTTAAAAAAAATTTTCGGCCTAGAAAACTGTTTTTTTAAAAACTGGGTCTCAAGAGGGCTAGCGGCCCAAATGATTGCCATATTCGGATTCAGCATACTTGATTACCTATTCTCCACTAGCTCACGGCTCAAAAGCGATTTCCTAGTTGGTGTCCTTTCCTCGTGAGTAGTATATATAACTGAACGAACGATTAGTAGTCGAGAAACGGAAAGACTGATAAACTCATTACCCGTCTGTACATAGTAAAATAACAACAGTAAAAAGAAAGAGAAAAATAACTATTGTCTTGTCACTAAACCAGCTGATCTATATTGAAAGAAATAGTTACGATCTAGAAATAGTTTTCGGTTTTTTACTGACATTTGCAGATGCTTTCTAACTTTTAAAATGATGAAAACAAACAGACTCGTACGGCACCGAACAGCCTGAGTCTATACATTGTATATTGCATGAAAAATACTGAATAACCGCGGTAGTACTGAATAAAACTAAAATGCCAATAATGCAAACTTCGAGTAAAATATTTTTTGCAACATATTATTCAGCCTACGTCGAGCTGATTACAAAAATGTGCTGTTTAATTTTTCAAAACCCATTTTTCATGTCAGAAAATCGAAAATACTCGAAGCGTTTTAAAAGTCGGAAAATCCTTCGAGTTAGAAAAAGTTCGAATTTTTGCTTTATTTTCGGTTTATAATTTTAAAACTATTTTTTCTTATTCAACGTCGAAAACTGAGTAGAAAACTGATATTCGATCAGTTTCGAAATTAAAAGCTTGTTTACCATAGACGTACGACAGAAGCACTTTAAATACGACACCATAACATGAAAAATCAGAAGTTGTTCAGTGCAAAGAGTGTTTTTCTGCTAGTGTTTATTTAGTTCTGTTGTAACTGCAGCAGGATGGCTATCTGATGGTCTTAGGTGCGAGTATTGAATTTGGTAAATTTATCTACTTTTTTTGTGTGAGTCATTGGAGCATTCATTTATAGTGAATGTTTTCAATAATCGATCTTACCATAGTGAGACTCTTTTGATCAGAATGTAGAATGTTGCTTCGCTTCTCCTGACTAATAAACCTCTTCTCCAATCGCTCTCACTGTGTGTCTGTGTGGAAGCTTTCACACTTTTGTTCCAAAAGAGTTACGCCGATTAACTTTTCAGACTTATTTGTGAAATGACACATTACTATGAGAATCAGCGTAATCGGCAGCCTATATGGTAAAATTACCGGATGCGAAAAAGTACAAATCCGACAGGTTCTGGTAAAATCTGTACCATTACTGGTAGCTATCAACTTCGAACTTGCGCAGATTGCAAGTGGACAGTCCAGCAAGTTTGGTTCCATCCGGCAGAATTGAAAAATCATCTTTTTTCACTGGGGCAATCTACTCTTTGTAAGGTGTCAGGTATACTACCTGCAGGTGATAGTCACTACCACCATCACTACCTACCATTTTCTGACTTTTAACTAACCGGAGAGTTAAAACTGAGCACGAATAAAACTAAAGTGCCAATAACAATAATGCAAACTTCAAGCAAAATATTTTTTTGCAATATATTATTCAACCCGCGTTGAGCTAATGACATGCGAGGGTAAAGGGTGAAGATAAATGGAGATTCACGTGAAACTGAAGTGAAGCTTTTAATCTTACCGTAGGTGATGGAAATTTTTTGTAGTGATTTGATTAACCAATTTAAATACAACATGATTGGAAGAAATCTTGCTGTCTTTTCCATTTTAATATCAACTGGTTCTTCGAATGTTGTCAAATAATTAATTAGTTCTCAACTAGCTATAACTAATAGAATGATGTTTGATAATGATGTCAATAAATATATGAAATTATATTTAAATAATGATTTAGAAAAATAATTTTGACAATAAATAAATTTATGTTGTTTTAATGAATTTAATTGTCCATTTAAAATTAATATTGTTTTTATATTGAAAATATATCAAATGTAAAACCAAATATTGAACTAAAAAAACGTCTATATTGACGATTTAAATTAAATGCATAAGATCCATAGAAAATATTAATTAATATAATAATAAATAATAATAATAATAAAATAAGACAGAAAACAATTTTATAAATATGATGAGTATTTTTAAATAGAACAAGATGATAGAAAAATATTAAAAAACATCCAATTAAAAGAAATAATTGTGATATAAAATTAAATGTTGTGATTCCAATCGTTGAATAAATTGTTAATGAACCAGCTGATGTACAAGAAATTAATTCACTCATAGTAAATGTATCTAAGTATTCATAATTTTGATATAATAAATTTTCAAATATTTTACTAACGAGGGATTTCATTTCATTCATAGTTGAATATTCTAATAGTGTTTTTCCGATTATTTTAAATATTCCACTTAGAAGAAAAATTAATAATAGAATTAAACCTGTATAATCAACTAATTTTCGATTCTCATCAGTTCACTTGAATAGAATGGTACAAAAAGATATATGATTAGGGGATTGTTCGGATGCCATGTAATAGTCAAAAGATCATATTTATCTACTACTGGGGAGTGGAACATGGAGGAATGATGATCAAAATACTCGCATAAATATTAATTCTTTTTTCTACTGCTACACATTTGTTAAGGCGGTGTTTAAGCTACATTTTACGAGTCGGCCTCGCGTGTGTTGTCGTTTCTAACTCCATAGTTCATAATCTATAAGCAATTTTTTTTACAAACTTTTCTCAATAATCACACCATTAAACATGAATTATATGCGTTACTAGTAGCGATAAAAAGCTCTCAAAAAATGAAAACAAAAAAAGGTTTGTTTTTGGTTTTCATAGGCGTAGATGGATGAAGGTACAAAAGTTTGTCCCAAAATCTTTTTAGTTATGAAAAAGTTATACTGATACATGACTGAGTATGTCCTTTAGTTTTTTATTCCCTTTACTCCTTTTACTACTTTCAGTTATAAAGTGAGAGTCAGGATAATAGTTCTGATATGCGTGAAACAGAGAGACTAAAGGCAGTAAAACACTTAAGTGGCTAAAAGTGTGACAGATATAAAAGTACGAAAGTATAATAAGACTAATAAGCTTAAATGGAAGCTGTAGCCTTGTATGTAAGCTAAAAACATCTCGGGACAAACTTCGTATCATTTCACAACTCTCTTTATGGAGATGACCATAGTCGGATTTTTGGTTGAAAAACAAAAGTTTCGAAACATGCGTAAAATATACGTCCCAGCTGCACTGTTTACGTAAATTTCGAATTTTATATTTATTTTTTTGGTGGTATTTTATTAGGTATGCACGAGTAATTGACTAAGGATTTTACATTTCCAAAATCTGGTGTAAATTGCTTCGTTAAAAATTTTCTGACTCGCTAAGAGATGTAGAGCAAATATTTCTCTAAACAATGAGAGGTTGGATAGTTCTGTATGATTTATTTTGAGATTTCGACAGCGATACCTCAAGAACACATAATCGAGTACTCGATTAGTCTGGCATCGCTATTGAAAACTCAGAACAAACCATACAGAGCTATCCAACCTCTCATTGTTTAGAGAAATATTTGCTCTACATCTCTTAGCGAGTCAGAAAATTTTTCACGAAGCAGTTTAGGAAAAGTCCGGTTCTGGAAAAAATATAAAATCCTTAGTCAATTACTCGGTGCATGCCAGTCAAAATTGACAGATACCATGAAAACTGCATGTTGTATCGTATTTCTCCATTTTGATCATGATTCACATCTCGTTTTCGACGTTCACTTGATGGAGAATCCGAATCTACATCTCCAGTAAAATTTTCACATTGGTTCAAGGTGAAAATAAAAACCTAGCTTATTTGCCCACGTTCTTTCAACAGTATTCGAGATTTGACTGATAGAATTTTCCATTTTCCATTTATTTTATACATTATTTTTAGAAATCGAAGGCCACTATGTATTTTTTACTTCTTGATCCAAAGGAAATTTTTGACCACATGGAAAAAGGGTCGTCGAATAGCTGCCACCAGAAGAGCAGAGCTAGGCAAGTCAAGTCTGATTTGAGAAAAGGTTTGTCCGGTCTTTTGACTGATTTCTAATTTTGGCCGTCTCCTAAGTCGTTTCAAGAGAGCATTTTCTCGAATTTTCAATGAAAAAAATGACATTAAAAGGTCGTGAAAGCTTTTGCGCCCTTTCTAACACACACTAGTACATGGAAAGTAGTGAACGAAAAAGCGCAGACGGGCTTCATTTATGTTAGGTGGACTTGATTAATAGATAATTTTTCAAATGTTAAACGTATTCCATAGTTTGATAATTTATCGTTCATTTCATGTAAAACATAACCCCATAAACGATTAGCACCACTAATCAATTGGAAATCTTTACTTTGATGAAAAGCCAATTGATAATAAATGGTTAAAACAACATGAAAATATTTTGTCTTGTCATTATGACTATAAAGGAAAAACAAGACAACTATTCAATACAGGCGATGTTACCGGTGTAATTCCAAGAACTGCCGTCCACCGCTTATCTTTGCTAGCCGAAGCTGTATGACATCATCCTGATAACGCCGCCTGTATTAAATAGTTGTCTTGTTGTCTATCGACGTCAAAATAGAATGAAACTCAGCATAACTTTTGATAGACAAGTGATGGGGCGCTACGGTATCCACTATTTTGCAGTAAACCGTTGACATCCGTCTGTGTAACTCTTTTTTGTCTTTGGCTGAACCTGACGGTTCTGAAGGACAACTCGCTCAACAGCATCAATCTTATGGCCTCTAATATACACAGAAAAAGTTTGAAGCAAATCCGTATGAACGTCAAAAATATTTTTTTATGATAAAGATCACATTCAGATTGTTGATTTGAGGTCCATAATAGATAGACTTTAAGTTGATATAAAATCTGTTTCTAAATGTCTAATAGTTCAAGTGAACTAAATTTTTAAAAAATGGCACCTATATCTGCGCTGCCATAGGGCAAGAAAGGATTAAAATTGAAAAAGTAGACAAAAAAGATGATTGAGTGAGTTGTAGTGATTAAAAATGACTGTAACCTATATTCCATTCGAGACCCTTTTATTATATGTTAAGTATGGTGAAGGGTAAGATTTCTCTTCAAATTTGAGTCACTATCTCAATTAAAATGTCTTTCTGACGAATATAGAGACCTTTCTATGACAAAACTTGATTACGTTAATTAACAAATAAAAAGATTTTTGAACATCTAATTTGTCACCTGGCCGGCTGAACGAATTGGGAGGGTAGATTCAGAATCTTTTAATATCCAAAATAACACAAAAAGATTTTCTATTAGCAAATTTAGGGTAGGCTCAACCTCTTCAAGCCAAATTTAGAATAGCCTTGCGCCTACTCTAGCGCGCAGGCTCCGTCGCCCATGATTTTTCAAAGCCAGATGAACGTTAGAGCCTCAAAAGTCTTTTGGAGGCATTACAACGCATTAGAATTTTTCACGCATTGCACGTATTGAGAAATAAAGCGTTCGAATACCTTCAGTTCACATGAATAACCTGAAAGAACTCATTTAAAGCCTTAATATGTGTCAAAAGAAGAATTTACAGATTTAAACGGGGAAATTTTCGTTTTTTATACCTGCGAAAGATCTTCGACTATCCAAAATTTCTTTCTGAATATCTGTTGCTGTTGTTAGGTTTTTCAAAATGCAGCATAAGCCTGTATAATTCTCAGCATAAGTGTACAGCAATATTAGAGGGATTAAGAGGAAAAGGCAGATTCTTCTTAGATTCACTTAGGCATATAGTTAAACCGGCATTTCTTAACTGGTTATGGGGTTGAGACAAATCTTCTTTCTCAGATAATTCATCAAAACTAAAATTCCCTCCATGCAGGTAGTTGATGTTGTTACTTGATTCAAACTCAAAAATTTCTAGGCAAAGGATGAAGAGCGAGAAAAGTTACCCGTTTCATGGCCACATTTTGCTATATATGATATGCTAGGTATTACGACGTCTAACCAATTGGCGCCAATAGGACCATTGCTATGGGCCATCAGAATAAGGCAAGAAATCGCAGAGATTATATCGACACCAGAGGAAAGTTAAAATCAAATTATAAAATTTATACTGTCGGCATATTCATTTCACTTTATGCATAGAGCTAAGTTTTCTTAGCGTTCCACTCACCGCGGCAAAAGTGACCGATTTTCTAATGTTTCTCTGCTATAATAAGAATTGTTCTCAATGTCTGACACGCTTCAACTGCTTTTCTGAGAGCTATTGCTCCATCGTCTCTTGTGGCATGGCAGCTGATATGAAGTGTTGTCAATATCTGGTTCGATGCAAGTGCTTTTCCCAGAGCTTCGCCTCCATCGGCTCCTATTTTATTCCAACTTATATTAAATATTGCCAATGTCTGATTCGATTGAAGCGCGTTTCCGAGAGCTATTGCTCCGTCGTGCCGTATGCCAGTGTAGCTCATATCCAGTGTTGTCAATGTCTGGTTTGAGTCAAGTGCTTTTCTGAGAATTTTAATGATGTAGTCGTTGATTCCGCTGCAGCTACAATTTAGATGAATTCGGGCAGTTCTCTGTTTTCAGTCAGTAATGTAATATTGATAGAGGTATTCAGGACCGGTAATAGAAATCTTGCGTAATAAACGGGAACGTCAGATTGTGGTATGTTATAGCGGATGTCTAAGTGGGTTTGTCCACCTAAGGTTCTTCCTAATAGTTCAATTACATGTGCTTGGAATTTTCTCACTCCGACTGAAGGTGCAACTTTAATTTTGTCTAAGTATAAACTCTTGATGAATGTATGGTTTATAGCTTCAATCAGTTTATGAAGTTCGGTTTCGCTTAACTTGCATCTGATCAGAGATAGTTTATACATATTAAAGCCACGTTGAAGTAGTTCGCAGAACTGTTTTATATTCATAATCGACCATGCTGAGTTTCGTGGCAATATTTGACCAAATTCAAAGTCGGTCGCTCCAAGCAATTTTCAACTGTAATCATTCAATACATGTAAAGCACCGAAATCTGTTTGAACTTTAGAATAAATCATGACTTTGAAGATCAGTATTCCATACTCAGTGAAGACCTTTCACCTTTGCTGGTTTTGTGTTCCTTCAAAATTTTTGCTGCTGTGTTCAAAAATAACGCCATCTCACGAGAATACTGATCTTCAAAGTCATGATTTATTCTAAACTTCAAACAGATTTCGGTGCTTTACATGTATTGAATGATTACAGTTGAAAATTGCTTGGATCGACCGACTTTGAATTTGATTCACGTGCTCGAAGTCAAAATCAGTCATAGAAAAATAGAAACCAAACCCACGTAAGACGATCAAAATTAACTATTACTATTTGTTTCGGTCGATAACGAGCAAAATGCTTTCTTAGATGCGTGGAGGGCAGTGCTAAAGTCATGATCAATGTCTTGTTGGTTGATGAAATGGCAGAATTCTTTTATCGGTGTAATCGGTGACGCGACGCAGATCAAGCCTTTCAGGAGGCTTGCCATCTTTTTCGATAGATTGTCAAGAGCTTCTTTTTAAAACCCTCAAGCAAAGTTGTTACAACATTTTGATCAAGCTCTTTCACTTTCAAAATGATTCACTTCGCTAGCTGAGCAATATTCTGGGTCTCCCAATTGTTCTCATAAATTCTCTGCTCCAACAGTGTCCAAATTGTCTCGATTGGTCTCGCCTGTGGTATGTTGGGCGGATTTCTTTCACGTGTCACATAATTGATTCGATGGACAGTTAAGAATGCTTGCACTTTGCGAGCGTAATGCGCGCTGGCCAAGTCCGGCCAGAACAAGATGGAATCACCGGTGTGATAACGATCAATGAATGGGATCAGTCGCTTCCGAATACACTCGTTGAGGTACGTTTTCGTGCCAATAGCGGTCTGGCTACGATATAAATAAACAATGCTGATTCCTTTCGGGAAGATGGTCATCCAAACCAACAATTTAGGCGCAAACTTCATCCGACGTTTAAACTTGATGTGTGATGGTGTAGTCAAGCGATCTGTAGTGTAATAAGATCGGTTGGAAACAATGTCACCAGTAAAT